TATGGAATAATAGATGCAAAAGCTAATCAATTGATGCATGACGAAGAATTACTTACAATGAATGAGACTTTAGTTAGTTATCACCTTATCAAAGTTACTGATGCTTCGTGCTAGGGGTCACCAATGCGACACCTGAAAGTTAACGCCATCTGAATCGCATAAAATTTATGTTTGCTTTGCCTCGTTTCGTGATGGACTGAGCTGCCGACGCAATCGTAGCCTTGTATTAGAGGATGAGGAGCATGAATGATACTGAACGAAGATAAATGTCGGAAAGATGCTCAGGGCTGACGGAAATTCTCAAAACGACAAAGATAGACTGAATCGGCCTATCAATAGATTTCAATGGCTGAAAATCATAAGAAAAAGCATGAATTCAATTTTACTATCTCGACCAAATGTGTAAGATAAGGCATTATAGAATAACGAATGATCGAATAATACTATAAGCTTTCAATCAAGCGGGCAGTGTTGCCCAGAAAACGAAATAGTTCATTCTTGAATAAGGTTAATTCTTACCGGAAAGTTCTGTCGTGAACAACCATCGCATGAGAGCTGTGACTTCTAGTAGGTGCTCGGTTGAAAGGGCGATTTTGAAGTCTTGCCTCCCTATCCTTCCAACGATCCCTCTCATGAAAGTTATTAGATTCGTAGTCGTTGGTTGTGTAAATGTAATTGCTCTTCCCTCTCTGCTCATGTCGAGAAGCATCGTCGCGCCAATATTTCAATTCGTTTTCATATCTATAAATAATATTTTGAAAAGCGGAAGCAAAAAACCGCAAAAAATGTAAGTGATTAATATCGGGAAATAAGGGAATAAAAAATAGTAAACACACGAGTCAATAGACGATGAAGCGGGAGCTGGAGAACGAAGTTCATAACTAGTGCCAACCTGACAAATGGGAATAACCCGTGGCTCGTTTGACATTGTAATTCTGAAACTCATCAAAATGACCTGTGAGGGACAAACCTACAACTTTTGTTGTTATTCAAAACAATATTTCTATAATCAACCACTACATTAATGTTTTTGCTGATACAGTGCCCCGACTTCAACAAAAAACAAGGATGGGACCTTAAACGCACCTGCTTTCGGCTATAATTGAGCTGTTGTTTGGTTTGTGAATCTGACCCGCATTCGCATAAACATATCTGGGAGCAGTAGACCATTCCGATCCATTCATGTCCCGGTCCTAACATCTGACCCGCATTCGCATAAATATATCTGGGAGCAGTAGACCATTCCGATCCATTCATGTCCCGGTCCTAACAAACTCTGTGTTAGCGGAATTAGGAAAAAAGGAATCATAGAAAATGTGAAAGACCAAGCTTGCTCAAAAAACTCAGATGACTACACGGAATTTCGGAATGTTCTGAAACATTAGCCATATTCAGATTAATATGTGGATCCTACACTGTCAAGAACCTATGGCCGTATATGAAGAAAAGCGACTCCAATTCCTTTCTATAATTGTAATGAAGCTGATTCAAACAACAACAGTAAAGTGCGAAATTTCTCTAATTACTCAAGAAGGAAAGACTCGGTACGAGTCAGGCAGCAGAATGTCATGTTGCTGGAGCTAGTGCAGGCCATTAGATTCAAAGCGAAATCGATGCATTGGGCACAAGCAAGAGGCCGCAGGGCAACACAGGCACCGCCGGTGACGATGTTATTATGTCATGGAACCGACAAATTCGTAACTCACTCCGCTCGACGAAAGCATCAATCGAAAAAATGAAATGAAACGAAGGGAACATATTTTCGACTGGGTCCTGGCCGCAAGTTTATATGCTTTGTATCAGAAAAATATAGTCAGATCAACTAAATGACAGTCTTGCTATTTATGAAAACTGAAATATTGTCGACAGGTTTTGGCTCTGAGAATTCTCAAACACAAAAAGTGCTGAGAATTATTGTGGCGATATTCAATATGCTTCTGATAAATGAATAATACTGCCAAAGAAAGGAAACTGAATGAATTCATAAAAGAATAAAAATGGAGTTATCAGTGGCACAAAATTGCGAGAAAACACTCTTCAACAACAAACAACATGACCTCACAACGCCAAAAAACGAAATGCGATGTTCGCGATTGCAGCACGGTTTCGTT